GAATAATTTAGAAAAAGATAGTGACAAAAGTTGCACAACATGAAGAATGTAATCAATGTCACTGAATTGTGGACATTAAATTATTGAGTCGGTGAAGCTTTTGTTATGTATATTCTTACTGCAATTTAAAAAAAAAGACAGTCTTTAAAAGCCTTCTCAAGACAAATCAAGACATTGCCAAGCCAGTGTCTCATAAGAATATTCCTTGTAAACGTGCATCCTGAGGAATGAGCAAGGCTGACCCTTCCATCTCTTTCTAATTCAGGGCCAGATGAGTCTACAGCAGCCACTACCAAGGAGCCAAGTCAAGGAGTGCATGGAGGCACCACTTGGTCCACCCATGACTCTACATCTCTTAAGGCTGTGGGCAGTCTGGGTATGTATGATCTTTATCTCTATTTCCTTCAAGGGCTTCCTGTTGGGGTCCTTTCTCCCCATCTCTGTAATCAAAACAGGTTGTTTAAGGAAATCAGTGACTAGTGTTGTAGTAGAGTTCTTTGGCTTTTGCTGCTGTCCTCTGAAGATGTTGATTATTATTTTTTTCCTAAAGTTTATTAGCCACATGATTTTATTGCTGACTTATTTTATAGGTAGCCAACCATTCACCAAGTATAACCATCAAAGGATCAATTATCTGCATACCTTCCCTTGCCCTAGTGTGAAGTGTTGTTTTTCTAAACCAGGGACTGTTAATTAAATCTTAGGTTGACAAGATGGGAGCTCTGGTAGAGTAGTGCCTAAGACATTTGACTGTTAACCAGCAGGCTGGTAGTTCAAACCCACCAGCCACTCCTCGGAAGGAAGGTTGGGCAATCTACTTCCATAATGATACTGCCTTGGAAACCCAAGGAAGAGTTGCTATGAGTCGGGTCCGACTCTACAGCAGTGAGTTTTTGAGTTTTAAGGTTGACAAGATTATGGGCAGACTTGAGATGACATAGTTTCTACAGTAGAAGATGAAAGGACCATGGTCTTAGGCTGTAGCATTAAATGTAGTGAGGCCCTGTTGAGAGATGTAGATTCAAGTTGGTTAGGGGAATGTGGGCCTCGGGAGGAGTGTCCTTGGAGGATCCAGCTGTCTTCATCCCTGTAGCAGTTGAATATTCTTTTCATGAAAGAAAGAAGACTCTGAGAGAGGGATGGATTTGAAAGATGATGAAAGTAAAGACAAAATATTATGTTCTTATCCATACTGTCCTCTTTCTTCTCAAAGATAAATCCTTAAGTGGCTTTGCAGTGAACTCAGATTTTGGGTCCCTACAGGAGACTGGAAGTTGTATGCTGAAAGTGGCTCAGTGAGGGCAGGTGATGAGGAGAAAAGTGGAAAGTGGGTCAGGATAGCTTTTAGCATGGATAGAACTTTGTTTGGTTCATAATATCTTCCATTGTATAACCAGAAACCAAGCCAGTTGCCATTGAGTCAATTCCAACTGATGCCTCCCCGATGTGTACCAGAGTAGAATTGCACTTCATAGAGTTTTCAGGACTGTGGCCTTTCAGAATCAGATCACCAGGACTTTCTTCCAGAGGTGCCTCTGGGTGGGTTCAAACCGCCAATCTTTCAGTTGGTGGCCAAGTGTTTAACCATTTGCATCCTTTTATATAAGGAATGGGGAAGATTGAGCTGGAGGCCGCAATTTCTGCTTTGCAAGCTCGAAGCTCTCATCCCACTATATCTTTGTTGGTGGTCAATACATTCTCATGTTGCTTATCATTGAAGTGTGAGTATGGGAAGGTTAGCCCCCTTCCCCCTAGAAGGAGGAAGTAAATTGAATTGAAAAATCAGGAGAGAATAAATAATGGGGTCAACCAGAAGGACTTCTCTTTTGGCTTACTTGCATATCTCCCATCAACTTGTTTCTGGTCACAGGCTTGCCCACAGGAAGCCCAGAGATGGCTGTGGATCTCAAAAGCATAAGCCCTGAGGAGCCCAGCATCAACCAGGAGACCAGATCCACTGTGAGACATTCTCTGGAAATTTCAACAGCAACTGCTCCCATAGAAACCATATTTCAGTCCTCAGCCATAAGAAGTAGCAGCATTGAGCTCACTCATCTACCCACAAGAGTCACAGCACCAGACAAGTCACCACTAATTGAAGGGACAGTTGCTACAGAAAGAGTTTCACTCTCCCCATCGCCATCTGAGACTTGGGCCAGCCCCTATCCAGGAGGGACCAGCCAGTCATGGGGAACAGTGCCCTTGATCTTCCCAGAATCAACTCCTAGAGACACCACAGGGACTGGTAAGCAAAGCAGCCCATCTCTGTCTCCACAGTGGCCTGGACTCACCAAAAGGCCCATAATGGACACACATATTCCTTTGAGCACGTCTTCCACTGGCTTGGAAGACTCTGTGATCACTTCAGACTCTGCAACTACCCAAAGGGTAACCATGAGCTCAATGGCAGATATATCTGAACTTAGCACCAAGACATGGGTCAGCACCACAGTCATTCCTTCCACTGTCCTAAGTAAAAAAACAATGACAGCTGAACAGCGGATAAGTGGATTTGTGGATAGGGATTATTCATCTGCTAGCCTGTGGTCAGAGCAGACAGCTGGGAGAGACCAGATTCTTAGTACATTCTCTGAAGCCACAGACACTTTGTACACCACTTCCAACTCCACAGTACAATCTACCTCACTGGCATCTCTGACTGTTACAGGCCAACGCATCATCAATCCCACCAATGCTTCAGGAGAAAAAATAGGCTCCTCACCATCTATCACATTCCCTTCAATGGAGCCGAAGATTCTGGTGGCCACCAATAGTGTAGCAACCAGTAACAGTGCCTCTACACCTAGGCAACTATCACAGACCTCATCTGTAGGAATGAGCACTGGGGGTGTCAGTACTACCCTTACTCCAGGTGTCACTCCCACCATGGAATCAAACTCTTTTGGGAATACCATGCGCAGCCCAGAGGAGAGCGTGAGCACCACAGATAGTATCCTAGTCACAGAGACTAGCACAGCTGTCCCAAAGCACCCTCCTCACTGGCCCTCCACAGCTGCTTCTGCCCCAACATCAGGCCTGACTTCAAACCTGGAAGTCACAGCTTCTCCTGAGGCAATTTCTGCACTGGGAACAGCCTCAGCATTGACCACTGCATCCTCAGCATCGATCATTGGGTCTACTTCTCGTAGCCCTGTAACTGTCATTGGAACCAACCTGGCCACTCCATCCCCCACTGCTTCAGCTGTAAAGATACACACTAGTGTGAGAACAATGAATCCTTTGGACTCAACTTCCTCTATGCCTGCCTCAACTTCTTCAGGTGTCCAGGGGCTGAGCACATCCACTCCCAACAATTCAAGCACAAGTTGGTCTCCCCATACAACAGAAACAGAAGTCCTGCCTGTCTCAATGTCTTTGATGGACCATCCAGATACAAGGACTGACACCAATACCCCTCCACACACTCCTCTGCCTGATGCTCTGTCCACTGTTGACTGGACCACTGGGGGATCTGGCTTATCATTCACAGTCACTACCTCAGCTCCTCAAGGGGGCACAACTCTCCAAGAACACCCTTTAGAGACTACAATCAGCCCAGCCGCCTCCCAGCTGCTCTTCTCTACAGGAGGCATTACAACTGGGGTCACATCTGATGCAATGAAAAGTAGCAATGGAGTCACTTTCTCAGGGAGTCAAGGTCTCACCAGCAGAGAAGCAGAACAGAGTTCTACTCATCTTCCCACCACAACTTCTGCAGCTCCAAGGAGTGTGTCCAAAACCACAGCAACAACTCTGGATGTGATCTCGTACACAAATAGAACTCTATATCCAACTCCCCACGGACATATGCTAAGTACTCCTACAACAGAGATAAGAGCTACATCTGACTCCTGGACTGGGGAAGAAACAATCTCAGGCACATCTGTGCACACTACTGGCTCCTCTAGCACATTGAGGACCACAGATCTCCTGGACACAAGCTTGGAATCTGGGACAAGTTCCTTCTCAAGTTGGAAAAACAGCACATATGAGAGACTAACTACTTCTGAGCCCACCACAGACAAAGAAGCAATTCACCACCCTTCTACAAACACAGCAGGGACAATTGTATGGACTACAAGTTCTAGAGAGAAACCTCAGTCCACTGTCCTGGTCCACTCAGAGTCACCCGGTGCCACATTGCCAATGGTTACTGCCTCCATCATAGGGGACACCATTGTTTCCACATCAACACTCATCTTGCCAGAGTCCCCAAAAACTGGGACAGAGACCTATTCCTCCATAAACACTGAAATGATTAAGTCCAATACTTCCACAAACAGCAGCTCAACCACAGAAACAAGCATTGTCTCCTCTCCAGATTTTACTGCTATTACCAAAGGGCCTAAGAGTGAAGACACTTCCTCTGAAACAATATCCAGTCTAGGTCTGGCTCATTCCACAAGATCATCAGCTGTCCTCACAGGAAATAGCACCAGCCCCTCCTCTTCTCTCATAATAGGATCTACAGGAATAATTTTTAACAACCAGCAAAGTTCTTCTGGGGCTACTTCATTGGGTGCACTTACCTTGGACACATCAACCACAGGCTTGTGGGAAGGGACCCAACTCCCCTTCTCAAGGCCGTCTGGGACCACAACTCCAATGATTATCACCCCCACCACAGGGGACACCACTGTTTCCACATCAACAGTTGCCTTCTCTGAGAGCAAAAGAGTGCAGACAGAAACAAATTCCAATCTGACCCCTGGATATAGGGAGACCAACCCCTCCCAGGTGACCAGTTCAAACACAAAGACAAACACTGTTCTTTCCCATGTGTCCACTGGTGCTGAGACCTCTCGGACAGAATTCACCTCCTCTAGCAGGACAGCCAAGCCAAGCCCTGCTCACTTCACATCTACTCCCAACACATCTACGCAGAGCAGCACCAGCCCCTCTACCTCCGTTCTTGGGACAGAATCAACAGGAAAGACCCTCACCAACCAAACAGATGCCCCTTGGGCAACATCACAGGATACACTCACACTGGACTCATCAACCACAGATTCCTGGGCAGGGACTCAGAGTTTTCCACACTCAGAGATGACCACTCTTATAAGCGAAGATTCCAAGGTTGTGTCAAGGACAAGCCTTTCCTCTGTGAATGAAACCAGCTCTCTCTTTTCCCTGGTACCTACCCTTGGTACTTCACTTTCCTCTATTTCATCCACATTGCAAGAACACAGTCCCTCCTCTTCTCTTCCTGTGACCTCAGTTCCCACCTCTGGTTTGGTGATCACAGACATGTTGGGCACAAGCTTGGAAACTGACACCAGTTCACCTCCAAATTTGGGCAGAACCTCAGGTGAGGCACTGGCTACTTCTGAAGACACCACAGATACAGAAGTGATTCATTCTTCCACAAATACAGTGGTGACCACTGTGGAAACCACCAGTTCTGGACATGAATCACAGTCCTCTGTCCTGGCCCACTCAGAACCATTCTGGGTCACATATCCATCAGGTACCACCTCCACGATGAAGGACATCACTTTTTCCACATCAATACCTCCATTTTTTGATCCCACCAGAATCGAAACAGAGCCAACTTACTTACTGACCTCTGAACTGAAGGACACCAGCACTTCCCAGGGGACCAGTTTATCTACAGAGAAAAGCAGCATCTTTTCCCACATGTCCATGGATACTGCTACTACTGAACTCTTGAGGACAGAGTTTCCCTCCTCTGAAAGCACAGTCATCCAAGGACCTACTGAGTTAACACTGTCCCTGGATATCACTCCAGGAACGAGCAGTAGACCCTCTATCTTCTCTACCATCTCAGAATCTGCACCCATGACCTTCACTACACAAACAGATCCTCCTGGGGATACATCATTGAATTCATTTACCCTGCACACATCAACCACAGGCTCCTGGGAAGGAACCCAGTTGCCCTACTCAAGGCCTTCTGAGACCATAAATCCAACTGGTACTTCCACCACGATGGGTGATACCACTATTTCCACATCAACACCTGCCTTCTCTGAAACCAATAGATTAGAGACAGAGATGATCCCCAACCAGACTCCTGGACTGAAGAATATGAGTACCTCTCAGATGACCACCACAGTCACAGAGACAAGCACTGTCCTTTCTCACGCATCCACCAGTGCTGCTACTACCGATGTCTCTTGGGCAGAATTCGCCTCCTCTAGCAGGACATCCATAACAAGTCCTATTCATTTGAAATCTCCCAGCACATCTACACAGAGCAGTACTAGCCCCTCTACCAGCCTTCTCAGGACAGACTCTGCAGGAATGCCCTTCACTACCAAAACAGGCTTTTCTAGGGCTACATCACAAAGTACATTCACCTTGGACACATCGACTGCAGCATCCTGGACAGTGAGTCCATCAGTTGTAACTCAGGATTTTCCACACTCAAGGATGACCACTCTCATGAGTACCAGTTCTGAGGATGTATCAAGGACGAGCCCTCCCTCCGTAGAAGAAAGCAGCTCTTCCCCTTCTCTGTCCTCTCTCCCTGCCACAACCTCACCCTCATCTGTACTGTCCACATTACAAGAGTATAGTCACTCCTCTCCTCTTCCTGTGACCACAGACATGTTGGTCACAAGTTTCAAATCGGGCACTAGTTCACTTCCAAATTTGAGCAGCACCTCAGGTGAAATACCAGCCACTTCTGAAACTAACACAGTTAGAGAAGAAATTCGCCCTTCCTCAAACACAGTGCTGACCGATATGGGAACCACTAGTTCCAGACTTGAATCAAATTCTGTCCTGGCCCAATCAGAGCCATTGAGAGTCACATCTCCAGGGGTCATCACCTCCACCATGGGTGACATCACTTCTTTCACATCAAAACCTACATCCTCTGAGACCAGAATAATGGAGACAGAGCAATCTTCCTCCCTTACTACTGGAATGAAGGAGACCAGCATTTTACAGGAGACCTCCTCAGCCACTGAGACATACACTGTCCTTTCCCAGATGTCTACAGGTGCTGCTACCACTGAGCTCTCTAAGACAGAGATTCCATTCTCTGACAGAACACTCATTCCAGGTTCTACTCAGTCAATGTGGTCTCCAGAAATTTTCTCAGGAACCAGCAGTAGACCTTCTATCTCCCCTCTTATGACAGGATCTGCACACAAAACCCTCACCATACAGACTATTCCTCCTGAGCCTACGACATCACTGGATCCTCTTACTTTGGACACACAATCCACAATCTCCTTTGAAGGGACCCAGTTTGTCTCCTCAAGGCTATCTGAAGCCTCATCTCCACTGGTTATCTCCACTGATTCCACATTAACACCTGTCTTCTATGAGATCACAAGGATTGAGAGTGAGTCAACTTCCTCCCTGACCCCTGGGTTTACTGAGTACATCACTTCCCAAATGACTGACTTGGCCACAGATATAAGCCTTCTCGCTTCCCAAGTATCCATTGGTGCTGCTACCACTGAGGTCTCCAAGATAGAAGTTACATCCTCTGACAGAATCTCCAACCCAGGTCCCAATCAGTCCAAAGGTCCTACTGATATAACTACAAAGAGCCACACCACCCCTTCAACCTCTCCTCTCATGACAAATTCTATAGAAATGACTTTCACCACCCACACTGGTGCCCCTGGGCCTACCTCACAGGGTTCACTGACCTCAAACACATCAACTACAGCCTTGTTATCAGAGACCCCCTTGGTTTTAACTCAAAGTTTTCCACAGTCAAAGATTATCACTCCCGTGATGAGAAGTTCTGTGGGAGAGTCAAGCCCTCCCACTAGGGTAGATTCCAACTCTCTCTCTTCCTTGGCATCTACCTCTGCTATACCCTCACCTTTCCCAATTTCATCCACATTACAAGGGCTGAATCCTTCTTCTCCTCTCCCTGTCACATCAATTTTCACCTCTGGCTCAGTGAAGACTACAGCCAATTTGGAGACAAACTTGGAAGCTGGCACCAATTCATCTCCAAATATGAGCAATACCTCAAGGGAGGTACTAGCCAGTTCTGAAGCCACCATAGATACAGAGGCAATCCACCACTCCACAAACACAATAGTGACAACTGTGGGGACAACCAGTTCTGGACATGAATTACATCCCTCTGTCCCAGCACACATAGAAACATCCAGGGTCACATCTGCAGTGCTTACCACCTTCACCCTGGTGGACAACACTGTTTCTGCATCAATGCCTGTATCCCCTCAGACCACAGGGACTGACAGCAAGTCAGTTTCCTCCCTAACCCATGGACTGAGTGGGTACAGTACTTCCAAGGCAACTGGCTTACTCACAGAGACAACTCGTGTTCTTTCCCAAGTGTCCACTGGTGTTGCCACTACTGAGGTCTCTAGACTAGAAAACATACCCACTGATAGAACATCCTACCTAAGCCCTGCTCAATCTGAAGGTCCTACTGACAAAACTACAGAGAACAACGGCATTTCCTCTACCTCACAGCTGAAGACTGAATCTGCAGGAATGTCCTTCACCACCCAAACAGGTGCTCCTGAGAATACATCACAGGACACATTTACCTTGGGCTCATCAACCACAGCCTCCTTGGTAAGAGCCCCCTCCTCTGTGACTCAGGATTTTCAGCACTCAGAAATGATCACTCTCAAAAGCAAAGAACCTGTGGATGTGTCAATAATGAGTATAACCTCTATCAAAGACACTAGCTCTCTCTACTCTCTAGCATCTACTCCTGCCATGAGCTCACCTTCCTCAGTTTCCTCTGTCTTACAAGAGGAAAATCCTTCCTTTCCTCTTCCCGGAACCTCAGTTCTCACCTCCAGCCCAGTGAAGACCACAGACATGTTGAGCACAAGCTTGGCACCTAGCACCAGGTTACCTCCAAATATAAGCAGCACTACAGGTGACATTCTGACCCCTTCTGAAGATACCAATGGTATGGAGATAATTCACCCTTCCACAAACACAGTAGTGACCACTGTGGGGACCATCAGTTCTGGACATATACAACATTCCACAGTCATGACCCCTACAGCGCCATCCAGAGTCACATCTTCTGTAGGTTCAACTTCTGTCATTGGGGAAACCAATGTTTCCACATCATTGGCTACATACTCTGAGATCACTGAGATTAAAGCACAGTCAACTTCCCCCCTCACCCATGGACTAAGGGAGAACAGAACATCACTGGATTCCAGTTTAGTTACAGATAAAAGCACTGTCGTTTTCTCTGTGTCCACTGGTGCTGATACTGAGGTCTCCAGGACAGAAGTCATTTCCTCCAGCAGGGCATCCATCCCAGGCTCTACTCACTTCAAAATGTCTCCCAATATACCTACAGAAAGTAATACCAATCCCCCTATCTCCCTTCTCAGGACTGAATCTGCAGGAATAAACTTTGCCACCACAACAGGTGGTCCTAGGGTTACATCACAGGGTACATTTATCTTGGACACATCAACTACGAATGCCTGGGCAGGGAACCCTTCAGTTTTGACTCAGAGTTTACCATACTCAGAGACGACCACTCTTACGAGCAGAAGTCCTAAGGATGTGTCGAGCCGTCCCTCTGTGGAAGAAGTCAACTCTCTCTCTGCCATGGCATCTACTACTGCCACAACTTCACCTTTCTCTGTGCCCCCCATGTTACAAGGGGGAAGTCCCTCCTCTCCTCTTCCTGAGACTTCAGTTCTGACCTCTGGTCCAGTGAAGACCACAGCCAATTTGGGGTCAAACTTAGAACTTGGCAGCAGCTCACCTCCAAATATGAGGAGCACCTCAGGTGACATACTGGCCACTTCTGAAGCCACCACAGGTACAAAGGAAATTCACCCTTTCACAAATACAGCAGGGGCCACAGTGGGGACCACCAGTTCTGAACATGTGTTACTTTCCTTTGTCCCAGCCCACTCAGAGCCACATAGGGTTACATCTCCAATGGTTGCAACCTCCGGGATGGTAGAGTTCACTGTTTCGACACCAACAACTGCATCCTCGGAGACCACAAAGACTGAGACAAAGTCTTCTTCTCTTACTACTGGAATGAAGGAGATCAGCACTTTCCAAGGAGCCAACTCTACTACTGAGGCATACACTGTTCTTCCTCATGTGTCAATGGGTGCTGCTACCACTGAGCTCTCCAAGACAGAGATTCCATCCTCTGATAGAACATTCATTCCAGGCTCTACTCAGTCAACAGGGTCCCCTGAAATCTCTCCAGAAACCAGCAGTACACCCTCTACCTCTTTTATCAAGACTGAGTCAGCTGCACACATGATCTTCACCACACAGAGTGTTTCTGCCAAGTCTACATCACTGGATGCACTTAACTTGGACACATTACCCACAGTCTCTTTGGAAGGGACCAGATTTGCCTCCTCAAGCCCACCTGGGGCCACATCTCCATTGGTTACCACCTCCATCATGGGGGACACCACGGTTTCTGCATTAATGACTGTCTTCTCAGAGACAAGAAAAATTGAGAGTGAGTTAACTTCTTCCCTGACTACTGGATTGAGAAAGTCCAGCACTACCCAGCCACCTTACTCAGCTACAGGGACAAATTCTGTCCTATCTCATTTGTCCATCAGTTCTGCTACAGCTGAGATCTCTAGGAGAGAAGTCACATCCTCCAACAGAATATCCCACCAAGGCCTGCATCAGTCTGAAGGTTCTAATGATATATCCATAGAAACCAGCATCACTCCATCCACTTCTCCTCTCATGAAAGATTCTTCAGGAATGACTCTTACCACTCAAACAGATACACTTACCTTGGACACGTTAACCACAGCCTCATGGACAGGGTCTCCCCTGATTTTGACTCAGGATTTTCCACACTCAGAGATGACCAGTCTTATGAGCAGAGGTCCCAAGGATGTGTCAAGCCCTCCTTCTAGGACACCTACTACTGCCACAACCTCACCTTTCTCTGTGTCCCCCATGTTACAAGAGGACACTCCTTCCTCTCCTCTTCCTGAGACTTCAGCTTTGACCTCTGGCCCAGTGAAAACCACAGCCAATTTGGAGTCAAGTTTGGGACCTGGCAGCAGCTCACCTCCAAATATGAACAGCACTTCGGATGATAGACTGAACACTTCTGAAGCCACTACAGATACAGAAGCAACTAACCCTTCCACAAACACAGCAGTGGCCACAGTGGGGACCACAAGTTCTGAACATGTGTCACTTTCCTTTGTCTCAGCCCACTCAGAGTCACATAGGGTAACATCTCCAATGGTTACCCAAGGTCCTAAGGATGTGTCAAGCCCTCCTTTTGTGGAAGGAGTCAGCTCTCTCTCTTCCACAGCACTTACCACTGTCACAACCTCATCTTCTGCTATTTTGTCCACATTGCAAAAGCTCAGTCCCACCTCCCCTCTTCCTGTGACCTCAAATCTCACCTCTGACCTTGTGACAACTTCAGCCATATTGAGCACAAGCTTGAAACCAGGAACCAGTTCACTTTCAAGTT